GCGCGTCGATATCGTTGGCTGTCGGCAACGACATCGCTGATGCGGCCATCTTATACGCAGCTAGCGAAGTCCGTTCAGTTAAACTGAAGTAAGCGAACGTAACGGTTCTGTGAAAGTTGAGCCGCTAATGACAGTTCCGTTACAATGGTAGTAGTAGCTGTACCTAAAACTTCATCGATGTATTGCGATGTTAGGTATAGGCCAGAAAGGTATAATTAGAAAATAATTATTTATTTAAGGTGAATTCTGCTTGTCCGCTGATTATAATTTCTAGGTAAAATGCAATTACAAAAAAAAACACCTAAGCTATCTCAACATTTTTGATTTTATGAAGAAAGCAAGGAGCGGGCAACATATCAAGGCAGCAAAAACAATCAAAACGAAGCATGCTCTGGTTTACGAGTGATTCTGCGTCATCGTACACGTAATAAACCCATGAACAAGGTGAAAAAGATATAAAGCTGTAAAGCTTTCAGACTTGTCATTTTGTAAATGTAGTCAGTTCATGTACAAAACGTAACCTTCCTCGCGGAAAGCGTGATATTCTAGCACACCTGAAAACAATATTCGTAACGTAATCACCACCTTTCCCACTTCATGGAATTCTGACAAGCGAATCATCTATAGCTCGAGAGAGAAGGTATGGAAGCAGGCATTCAAACTATGGTGAAGAGGAGTGCCCACATCAGTGCGTTTACAGCGCTATAAGGCACACCTAGGACAGGCAAGACGTGCGAGGCGTCATCACGCAGGTTCTCATGTCACGCGCATGTGATGGGCTGTCACCTCCGTCAATTTCTCTGACCAAGCTCTTTCTCTCTATCGATGTGCCTGGCGAAGTGTAATTAAACTGGAGGCCAACTTCTCTTGCAATGCTTGGAAATGCCTGCGAAGTTTCTCAGAGAGTCGGATATGCAAGAGCTGCAGCAACATTTTGTTTCAAGGATAGGAGATGTATACGTGGTTGCAAATAGGTTTCTTTGTTCCGTTTATTATTGCTATGGGAGTATACAAGCGTTTCTTGATCCAAGCCGCCTACGTGAACAAACACCTCCATTTGCTGCCACACATTAGGCGTTGAACAAAGCTTTCAGCTTGGAATCCGGCGAGTTTAATGGTTGCGCATGGTGCGTTACAGTGTACACTGGAAACTCGGCCAAATACTCATACCGGTATTCGTATGTTGTTTATCTCTGGCACTCTAGGGTTTGCTCTTTAGAAATAGACGGAAATTATAGTCGGTACGGTCCCATCATCCTAAGAGCGGAACAACATGTCCAAGAAAATAAATCCAAAATATACAAGAAAGTCCTAGCACTTCATGTTCTGTTAAATTTCTTAGACTTTTTTAAAAAAAGGGAGGGGAAAGTATCTTTACACACTCAACCTTTAGTGTAATTTTTTTTTATAAATTTTTTTTTAATTACAACACAATGCTCTAAATCTGAGCGCAGGTAGCCTAATGCAGAGATATTGTTGAATTTTTACCGGCGACATCAGACGTGAACTTCAAGGGAGCTTGGTTAAAATACCTGAGCGCCGAAGCGTAGTAGCTGCGAATTCTAAGTACTGATGCTGTATTTTTGGTGCTCTGAATATTTGCCTTCACCAGTATGTGAGGTAATGGCTTATTTTTACCTGTGACGTTTTTGTGAAAAGAGAGATACTCGACATGCTGCGTTTGTCTTTCGCTCAGGTACTTTTACCCCCATTTTAATTGTGCGCTGAAAATGTCCTTCAGCTAGCATAGTCTTTATGGCGTTGAAACTTTCCTGCTTGACATTTTTAAGAGCTACCTTGTGATTTTTAGAACATACTGTAAACGACTTAATTTTCGCGAATTTCGCGAATCGCCTTCAATTCGCGAAAAACAGATAGGTCTCGCGAAAAAGTCTGGTAAAATGTAAATAGATTGAACTCTATGTTGAGATCCCACCGCTTCGGGAAAATTCGAACCCGTGAATTTTTCCAAAACCTCTCAGCTTTGACTTAAATCGCGAAATATTGAGCCCGCGAAAAATAAGTCGTTTACAGTATACAATTTGTTTGAACTCATTGTATATCTATATATGTATATGAACAACTATACAATTGTATAGTTAGTCCAGAACATTTACATTTAGAAGCTGACGGCAAATAGGTCTGCGTCTTGTATTTTTTTCTACTTAGTTGCTCTTAAGTCGTTGATCTTGTGCACTGGCTACCTACATATATCATGGCTGTACCTGGGCATAACTTGAAACACCCCGGTTTTTGAAAATGGGCAGTATCTTGCACATATGTGATCGCGGAAGTTCATCATGGGAACGGGAGATGCGTGGATAATGCTCGGGTTCTTTCGGAAGTGCTGCTCCAAGGCTCACCAAAAACGCTCCTAGGCCGCCGCCATGTTGCTGATGCTGATGCGGCTGGTGCGACTCTCGCGCCCTCTATCAGCTAGAAGTTTTCTGCCACTCTCTGGGACTGTGAAGACCCGCTCAGCGCGGTTCTCTACATGCATTTTAGCCGTTTTGCATTCGACGTTTTCTCGCTCTCTTGAAAGTTTCCACTTCATTTTTTTATGCGAAACGGCTTGTGTTATCTTCCATTGTGAGAAATAAGGCTGGTAAGTGCCTGTCATTCCAGCTTTTCTGCTCGACATTCACGGGAAACGAAGCAGGTGAAGGACGTCGAACGACCCTCGACGCGATTTTGCGAACATTGTTCTCCCCCCTCCCAGAGATAATCCGCGTAGAATCCTCAGTCGTCTCCAAAAATAGTTGCCCGGGTTGGTGTGAGAAACGGGTCAGTCGCGTTTGTTTCTTTGCCTTGGTGCGGTTGTGAAAAAAAGGAATCTCTCCCCGAAACGTGCCCCAAACGAAGTCATCTCGGATTCCGTCCGATCGTCAAGATGTGACTGTCGTCGACTGTTATTCTGTTATTTGAGATCTTTCTCAAATAAATTCTTTTCGGATAACGCTGCATCGTGTGGTACGTACGATTTACTGTTCGATTGTTAACACTTCCTCAATTGTATGTCCGTGTCCTGTCCATCGGTAAACACGTTATTTGTGAGCGTGAAAAATGCATGCCTTTCGGCCTTCTTCTGTTGCAATTTATTTTTGACAGCAGAGCGCTTTGTCGCTTCACATGCGGCGAATCCCGCGGCGTCGTCAAAACTGATCGTAAGAAAAAAACAAATAACTAGAACTATACATTCCAGTCGCACTCGTTCTGTCGCGCGCGTACCCAACAAAAACAGTTTACAGTTTTTTTTTGTTTTTTTTAGTGTGACACAATGCTTTCTCAATGCCCTCGGGAAAATACATGTACAATGAAACACAAAATATTGCGGGAAAAAACGAGAATTTAGCCGCCAACAGCGTTTGAAACTGCGCCTACGCAGGCTGCGCCTATTGAAATCACAGTCCACTCGGTTAGGGTTAGGAGGGACGCCGGTGAAAGTCTAGCCTCAAACTCAGTGACCGGGCTCGAAAACGGTTTGTTGCCCCTGGGTTCGAGTGTTTTTTGGAAAGGTGTATAGAGCCACTGAAAAAGCGACGCTTCGAAAAATAAGTGTTTTTCTCAGCGCAAAAATAAGCTACGCATTGCCGAACGCTTCGTCTACGCCCAAAGTTGTGCGCAATTTCCGCATATTTTTCCGCGAGCAAGTAAATGAATGTAGAGCACGCGAATACATCGGGTATCGGATCCTATTTGCTTATTATATGTTTTTGAAAATCACCTATTAAGTTTTGATCACATAGCGGTAAGTAGTGAAACTTTGGCATGGTCACTACCACCAGCGCCACATTTTGACAGAGACGGTTACGGGTATTTTAATTTTCAGAAGAATGCGGTGATAGAAATGCGGTTCTCTTTTGTTCCAAACAGATGGCACTGCTAGTGTGTATCGAAAATCCGCTGTTCGATGTAGAGGAGCTAGCATTTGCCCATAATTTATGTGTGTTAAGTAATTCACATTAAGGTTCGCTTTTCGAAGCTTTTTGGTTAGCACATTATGTCCAAGAGAAGCAGGGTGCCTATTGCCAGGTTTTGGCGTGCCGCTCAACAGGAATTTAAGAGACCATCAGAAAAAACAACCAAGAAAACCGGGGATGGCATTGAATAACTATTCAAGCAGAAACCGCGTGTAGAGGTGATTCGCAGGACTGGTAATCTTCCAATTTTGTGCCTTGAATGGAGGACGAGTAAAACACGTACCGGTGTTTCAGGAAAGTATCAGAAATTCCTACTTGTACCGATAGGGTGGTGAAGAAAAAAATACACCCATTTCGGGAACAAAGTGCCGGCCATGGCGGATGACAGGGATTGCAATAAGTACAAATTAGCTAAAAATATATAACTAAAATCAACTCAGAAATGTTTAAATAAGTCAAACTAAACGAATGGTTTAATGATGTAATGCAGCAGGCACAAGGCTGACGATAAAAAGGCGAACGATATTCTTATCACCTGTGTTTTCGTATTGCTTAAACTTGACTGATTTAGGAAATTTTCATGATGCTAAACAAGTTTCTAATAAAAAAAATTACTTTCACAGATTAATGATTTAGTTGCTCAAATGATGTTTACCATTTGGCTAATTGGTCAGTTTTTTTTCTTGCAATTTCTTACGGCCGCCGTGGCTGGCATTTGGTTCTCAAAAGAGTTTCTATTTTTCTTTACCACTTTTTTGGTAGGAATGTTTGTGTCATAATTGAAATACCCAGTATTTCTATTCAACTGTGTTGCTAAGACCTCAGGTTGGGGTAGAGAAAGAAAACCTAGAAAAAGATTTCTGTTCTCTACCCCGTTTTTCTTATTTCTTACCATCGCGAGAAACTTTCACCGACTCGCCTGCTCTTCAACAATTATTTTGTTTATATTTAGTACATTCAATGTAACTTCATTTATACATTATTGCTTTTACATAAAAATTACAGCGCGAATATTTGTAATTGTACATTAAAAAGACACCATGCTACTGGTATTATACTTGAATAATCATGCGCACTCACCAACTGAATTAAGGTGTTGAGAAGAACATACAGTCGTAATCACAAGAACAGCGCCAAGCAGCAAAGCCCTTTCTGCCGGTCCGCATCCCATGTTTTATGATGAATCTGTGGACATAAAGCAAAACAAGCGAAAATATTAATAGGCGACTTACACGAACTAGTTTACTAAAGCGGAACATTTGCTGAATCAGGGTGGCGATTAATTTCTCTTTGAACAAAAACCCGGACACCCGGGAGAACTTTCTTGCCAGGTAAACTGGAAACTAGGATACACATACGCGGGTCATTAAACCGTAGAGCAGCGAAACGCGCTACATAGAGTTGGTGATGAGTATTGTAGCATTGCGTGTACTAAATGCTATATGATACAAGACATTTCATTACGGTTTATTTCACGTTTTACAGTTCAATTTCCACATAAGTCAATGGGACTTGAGTGGGATTGAAAATTCTTTACATGATGTATTTCTTTACCCGATGATTCGAACACTAGACGGTTTCATTGTTTAAACATTGCGCCACTTCATTTTTACGTTAATTTGTTTTAAAATGCATTTCTTTGCGCAAACGGTTGATTTGTGGATTAATAAAGATTTGCCTACAGACATGCTTGGTTACATGACTTATTTCAGCAATTAAGAGTAGCGGGTCTATTCAGAAATGGTAGGTCTTAGGGGTATCATGCATACTTTTTGTTTTCTCTTACTTTTTTATATAAGGTAGCAAAACATGGTCATACAATGGAATTGATGTTACCTAAAAAAACTTCTTTGTTTTTGTAAAGCAAAGAAAAAAAAAGATTGCGACTCCAGGAAAGTGGAACCACGATTTCCATAATTGTGCGTAAACGAAACTTTGAGGGCCACAGCAATAAAAAATGAAACTTTCTACAACCTAGATATTTGTATGCATAAAGCATGCCAGCTGGCATGCTTTATGGCTGAAGCAGTTCAATTAGTTTATTTAAGTTTCTATTTCAAATGAAATTAAATGACAAGCTTGGCCTCTTGCACACCTCATCATATTTAGACATTTTCGCCACTTCTCTATCGTATATTACGATTAAATATTTAGGTTGAAACGTTTTATACAAAGTATTTCGTCCTTTGTTCACTTGTGACAGAAGCGCGCTACTATTACAAACGTGCTGTTTTTTTTGTTTTTTTTGCGTTGCGCCTTTCTTTTTTAATGTCGAATGAGTCAAACTTGTGCAATATTCGTGCGGCACTTAAAAACACATTCCTCTTCGGTTTTCTCAAAATTTACCTCGATGAACCCTTGGAAGCGAATAATTCAGAATTCGCAAGAATGTGCTGCATTATTTTTTCCTAAATAAATAAAAAAATAAACGTTTTTCCAGGTGAATAGTTGCAGTCAATTACTGTTGGAGACTTTCTGTTGGTAATGGCCAAATATTTTCGGCAGAGATACGACAAAAATCGGGTGTTCGAACTGACTAACAGATTTTTACTTTATTTTAGCAAAAAAAAAAACTGTTTTGGGTACCTAAGGGAACAAAATGAATAAACGTTGCCATAGCGATTGCTAAATAACGTAATATTTTAAAGTAAAAGTTTATTAATGTAATTTTTGCTTGTTTACTTGAAAAATGACAGTAACTTCAGGCATGGTACGCGCAGGTTCGCGGTGACCTCTGGTACGCCTGTGTAGCTGGTTTAGCTCATTTTTTGGAACTTCATTGATGCAAGTTTTCAGGTGTGAGTATTTGGGTTGGTAGCCCTGACGGGTTTTGTGGATACTTTCTTTTTTGCGTGTCGCAATAGATCCGCCGGCTGATCCTCCAACTGAAGTCACACTATAATTTTAAGTATGCAAGCTCTTGAACATTGGGCCAGCTTTGCATGCGTTGATAGCTTGTAAACGGTTTAGGAACGCGGCAATTGGAAGCTTCGGGTGTGCTAGAACGGGTGCCTTTGTTTTGAGTTGAAATCGGTATGAAATGTGCTTAAACCGAGATATAAAACATATTCACAATGCACGAAAATAGAAAAAAAAAGTTTTTTTTTTTTTTGCGTGTGTCAATTTTGGTCAACTTGTACATCGCTAAAACTGCGAAGGGTACTTGAACATATGTATTAGTCAACAATAGAACATTCTCTATAGCATCGCAAAAAAGTATGTTATTCTTAGACATATCAGCAGCTTGTGTGGCAATTAAAATGTTCTCAACCGTGTTGTTTAAAAAAGCATACTATTTTTTTAGTTAACAGCCCTGCCCGCTTGTCCCTTGCACAGTGAACAAACCGCTTGATCTTAAGCTCTTGACGAAAAATCAGACAACGACCCTGTAACTTTGCTGTAAAATTACGCATTACCTATCGCCGCTTCGGGATGCGTAACAGTTAGCCGTGCTGAAGCGCATCGTTGTCCGTGGTCATTACCATTGTCTCGAGTTACCTTCCGTCACGTTCGTGCGGTAACTGCTGCCAGGCGATGTTGCCGGCATAGCGGTTAATTGGCGCGCACAGACGTCTGCTGAATCTTTGCCTAATCTTTATCGGGGTTTTCCTCCAAATGTTCGGCAAGTTCCGAATTTTGCCGAGTCCGAACTGTGGCTGATTCGGGCCAACACTACTTCCGTTTGAACGACTAGTGGTACTCGAACACAGCAATCACAGTCGTCGTAGCTAGTCGCCTTATCTTCAAAACACCAAAAATCATCATACAAAAAAAAAAGTTTTTTTTTTTTGTTAGTGTTGGGGCTGATGCCACCTATTCAAACTAAACTTTGCGGCGCCCTCGGTCCTCAGGATGATGTGTTTGGTTGATTACGCTGCACTGCGCTACTTTCCCAGTGTAGTATTTTAATGTTCAAAGCCTGTTTAGGAAATGGTTCGATTCCCTTATTTAGATGTCACTATATTCTATTTCTAATTACGATGTATTGTAGTGGACGTTACGAGCTATCTCAACCAATTTAGCGCATCAAGTGACAACGCGTCATCTTGTCCCTCTCAAAGATCACGTAGCACTCACAGGGCTTTGGATTCACTCGTATGACTCGTAGCTTTGTCCGTGGCCCATCGCACGGTAAAACGGAGCATATGAGCAGAAGATGTTAAGAATCGTATTCCCTAACCGATAAAGAGCGCGGCAAGTGTTGCAATAAAAAAAAAAGGACGAATAAGTGGAAAGCTAGGTAGCGTCATTGGACCAGTGTTGCATCTTCGGGCAAGTGATGCCTCTAGTGTTTGTAACGCCACTGCACACAGGGTGGTGTTTACACCACGCAATTGAAGGCTGAAATCACCCAACACCATGGTGTTGGGTGATTTTAGACGACATTGAACTGTGGGCCAATGGTCGACATTTTTAATTCATTTTATATTTTACGTGTCATCGCCCAATGTATAGTAGAAACAAATCCGTTGTATAAGTAAAATAGAATATCCTGACACAAAAAAAGTCGTATATCATGAAGACATAAATTGTCACTGGCATTTCCGTGCACCGCCGGTATGATTCTGTGTGATTGTAAATAACCTAAGTAATAACATTACGCAAATTTAGAAGAGAGTACCCAAAAGCTTTGTGAAAGAAAAAAAATGGCATTGTGAACAGTACGCAGAGCCGAACCCTAAACCGCGTTTTGAATTGACGCATGCCGACGATGCTATTTCTTTGAACGCGGAGAAATTTGAGTACGCCATTCTAAAATTTGTAGTTAGAAATTAATTAATTTCGAGAAACAATATATCTGCGTACAGGTCAGTTGTCCAAAATAATATTTTTCATTACATTATTTTATTTTATAAAAACTCTCAAACGTGGCACCGTGTGCGATTGTCTGCGAACTTTCAGATATTGGCGCGCAAACATGTGATCAATGCCAAACAGTGCAATTTTCGAAACATTGATTAAAACTTTTTTTCTTCAAATTTCTGCTACCTATATTATTTTATATGATCTTTAAAAGTATGAACGCAGTGACGCGCTGCCACTTGGTACGCTGAATTGGCTGATAGAGCTCGTAGCGTCAAGCTATAATCCATCGTAATTCAAAACGGGGTATAGTGATCTCTAGGAAAGTAAATCGAAGTATTTTATCTATAGGCTACCCGCATGAAAATAGTAGCCTGGGGCAGAAGCGCGACGCAGTACAATCAACCAAGCACAACACACTAAGGACCAAATGCACCGCAAAGTTTTGTTTTGGTAGGCAATTTCAACCGCATCATTCAGAAAAAAAGACCTCGCAGGTTTTTGTTTAATGCTCCATGGTGTCTGGGAGACAATACGACCAACTACGGCCAATGTGGATGCAGTGCTCAAGTTCCACTTCTTGAGACAGAAAGCCTCCAACTGTAATTGACTGGGTGCAACATAGACCTGGCAAGAAGTTTATTATTCTCTTTTAAAGCCATGTAATGCAAGATGATTTTGTGGATCCTGAATTACCTGTTTCTAAGGAATCATCTAGGGAATTAAAAAAAAAAGAATCGATGAAGATAGTTTTTGTGTAATTGCGGCACAATAATTTCACTATTTTTCGCTTTTTCGATATTTCGAGAATTTCCGGGGGCAATTAAAAAAAAAACATTTAAATTATTTTAATTTAAAGTGAACAATAGTGCGCACAAAAGTTTTCAGCACAAAAACATAATTATAAGGTGCGCTAAAAATCTCAGAAAAGTGCCTAAATACGAATGAGTTGCGCAAGATACCAAGTGACTTATTTGACTTTACCTGAAATATAAACTTAAACAAACAAACAAATCTAACTGCTTCAAGTAGATTAGTTTGCGTGCTTTCTATATAAATATATTTACGTTGTAGAATATTGTATTTTTTTTATTCCTGTACCGTACCCTCAAAGTTGCGTCCACGCACAACTTGGAAAAGTGTAGTCCGACCTCCTCTCAGACGCAATTCTTTTAAAGAAAATAAGTATGTTTGCAAAAGGAAGCTTCGTTTCGTTGTATAACTTGTTTGTCTAGCTCACAAAAAAATTGATTTGAAGCCCGAAAATAGGCAGAACACCCCTTTTACCATCTTTATCTGAGCACACCCCATATTTTTTCTTCCCTTCATGTTGGATTGCTTTAAATCGGTTATTTTTTTGTACCCCATTGTTAATTATTGCT